TACACAGGGATAACGGCGAAAAAAAAAAATAACTCAAATAAAAAGGCTGTTATTCTCTCGATGCGCTTCGCTTAGAAAATTTATTATCAACACATTACACACACCATAAGTTTTGCACACCACAAATTTTGCTCATACTCTCATTCCTTCGCATTCCATTCGCATAAATTCTATTCTCTGATAGAGCTCCTGTTGGTGGCTTTTTTTTTCTTTCATTTTGTTTTGTTTTTGCTGCTTCTTTTGCACGTCGCATTTTATATACGCTTTTAATATGCGGATAAAATATATTTGATGCTTTTGCCCGTAATCAGCGATGACAGCACAAACAAAGACATTCCGAAAGTGTGACCGTCATAGAGAGAGGGAGAGACACTTTATTGTTAGTTGGTCGACGGTCGTCGGTCGAAGGAACTGTTCGCTTTTGGGCAACATACACATTCCAAAGTGAAAAGCAATACCATTGTTAGCTGTCACCTCTAGAATGAAAATGCGATAGAGATCCTCGTATAACATCTCTTTCTCCAATTTCACCAATTATTATTGGTAGAAATGATTACAATGTAAATAATACGCGCCATTAATAATATCATCGTCGTATTGGATTACTTGTGTGCTGTTGTTGTTTTTCGATACAGTGGGTGGGGTGAGAGTAATGTTGATTTTTGGTGCGAAATTTGTGTGTATGATTATTTCTTATGTAAAATGCACAAATTATACTGCATAAACAACCGAAATAGTGGAAGAGAAATCTATAATGATAATAACAGTATTGTATGCCAAGTCTGATGGTTTATCTCCCGCATTATTACACGCACACAAATGATATGTGCGCGACGATAATTTCAACGATTTGTGGTGAAAAGCACAAAAACGCGCGCCCACGTGGTGTTCATAGTACCATCGAGATGGAATGAGAGAGTGAGAAAAAAAGAAATATGCGAAAGCTTTTCACGCGCAGGAGGAAGCCAGAGAATCCATTGAATTAAACGACCAGAAGAGAGGTTTTAATGGGGAGTATAAGAGAGAAAAAAATAGAGATAAACGTGTGCACATGAGGATAAAGTATGAATGAGCCCGAGAGAAAATTGGCGGAAATAAAATGAAACATGGCCTAGCATTTTTATGCGGAATTAAAGGCAAATAATTCGGAATGAAAATAATTACCGAACAAATAACAATTTATGTGTTGTGCACGCTGTTCATTCGGCAATAGTACACAGACTCACTCACACCATATATGCTCAATTGATTTTACCAACCAAATTGGTGTTATATTGCCTGCCAGTTGAAGCTGATAATATTTATTTGAATTTCGACAAATTTTTGGCACATTCTTTCCACATAAATATTTGCACAAAATGCGTCTCGCACTCTTTTCTCACACGCGAATCTGCTTTCTCTCGCTCTCTACCTCTCATGGTGGTAGTCTATAGTACGATATTAACACCAATATCGACTGCAAAGCGTGGCATTATATTGTCGAAACAGTAGTCGAATGCGCGATAATAACGAGAACGAGAATAAATTTAAGAGAAAAGAGAAGAGAAATGTGTGTTTATGTAGAGAAAATGAGCATGAGCAATATACAAACTGATTTACATTTTGCGAAATTAGTACGTCATTTACCATGAATGTAGAATATATTCCAGAAATTGGCGCCAGCATATTAACGATACGAACTTGTGAATGCGATACAAATAAGTGCTCTTTCAACAAACAAAAACAAATCGCAGACAACGGCATCCTCTCTCGATTTTTTGGATCGTTTTCTTGTATTGACTTTGTTCGACGACATTGTCGTCGTCATTGCTATCGTTGTCGACGACGCCACCATTTTAGATTTTTTTTTTTGTATTTGCAAAGTGATGTTGAAAAGTGAACTTTAGAATTGGCTGAAACCGAGAAAAAAAATGCAAAATAAAACAGAAAATTCAACCACTTGAATTGCACAACAACGTCGAAAAATGAAAAAAAAAACCGGCAAATTGAATGAAAATTTGTATCGGCTGTTCATGGTTACACATTATCAGCTAAATATGTATGAATTAGAGCAGCAATGCAGGCAGAAACTAACTGGATTTGGTGTATGGTAAAACATCATCACCTAAATGGTTAATCAGCTTTAATCGATTTTAACTATGTTTGACGTTTTTGTAGAGCTAATTATGCGCATAATTAGTGTAATGAAATTTTGCTTGACTAAAGACCAATTCCATACAATATATGTATAGAAAATTAAAAAAAACTGAATAGTGTCTCCGTGCCTCTTGCTCGCTCTCTCTCTCTTGGTCGCTCTCGATATGTTAGCTCAGTGCCTTTTGTTTTTGTCGCACTAAAATCTATGGGATTTATATTGTGTGTGCGTAAGACTATGCCCGTCACTTGGGCTTTATATTCAGTTTCATCGCAAGCTTAGCATAGACAAAATTGGCTACAAAGTCTATAAAATCGGCCGTGTTCAGTGTCTTTTGTTCGGTCGTTGAAAAGAAAATCGTTTTGGTTAAGACAGTAACAAATAAATAGTCAATGTTGAGGGCGCATAGCAGTCAAGCGTATGAAATTGACAGGATGTAAGTCGTATATGAAATGTGAACGATATATCTCTATATTCATTTTCTATGTATTTTATCTGGGTAAAAAGTAAACTAGATGTGCAATTGTGCATACTGAGAGAATGGTAGATATGTGTGTATGTTATACGTATGTCTATGTCGATCTGCTGGTGGTGATGGTAAGAGAGTCGGTTGCTCGGTATGCACGAGCATATTTAAACATAATGGCTTCAAAGTCAAATATATAGTCGAGATGATACGATAAAACTTTTCTTCAGCAATTTCAATTTAGTTGTATCCTGTGTGGAAAATATAAACAAAAACAACACCAAGTCAATTTGTTTTGCGTAATCATATATCCGCTAATGTGTTCCAGTGGTGCTTGTAGCCCAAACACTCACACACTCACTCACTCGATGTACCTCTCATACAACGAACCAACCACCCATCCACCCATACGCTCACACATTCATCTCAATATATCCGCATAAGGTTTATTGTGCTAAAGCGCAGCACGCATCATTTCGCAAACATTGGTCTCTTTCGAATTTAGCAAAAAAGAGTCATTGTGTGTGCGAGAAAAGTTTTCTCATCATCGATATATCTATGGGTTAATGTTGCGTGTTTGCATTCGTCTTTCCATAGCATTTCGTCTTTCATTTAGTTTTGAGCGTAAAACCACGTTCATTTTCTCGCTCGTTCTCTTTCTATCGGTTTGCACGAATATATGTGCATCTGTTCACCGCCCATGCAATCTTTCAGTTCAAATTAGTTCGCACAATTCATTTAGAATTTCTTCGCTCTTTTGCTGTGCATACTTACATTTTACGTAACATGTTAATTTCTTTGACGCTTTACGTCAAACACTTTCCTTTTGTTTTGTTTTTTTGTTCGCTGTGTCTGTACCGCCACACTCTTTTTTCCGTTCATTTATGTTTGTTAAACGCATTTTTTACGATCTGTTTACTTTACCGCCTATTTCATTCGTACATTTTACTTTTCCGCACACACCTAGTGTGTAAGGTAAAGTATTGGAATCGGTCGAAAAATTAACACCCATAAAAAATGTGTTTTCTGGGTGTTTTTGGGGCCAGGGAACACGAATCCAGCGTTTTTTCGATGTCCGAATGTATGTGCGTACCCTGTACCCTGTACCCTGTACCCTGTACCCTGTACCCTGTACCCTGTACGCAAAAATTTGTTAACACGATAACTTTCAAACAAGAAAAGTAATTCAAAATCTGACTTCGCAGGATGATTGGGGGTGCCGAGGAATAGAAACCATTAGATTTTGAGCGACTTTGGTTGACAGGGTAAAGTGTCATGTCTGGTGTGATGCCCATGTCCATCCATGGGAAAAATTCAATTTTTCTTCCAAAAGTGATATTTAATGTATTCTTAAACACTCAAAAATGTGTATTGGGGGTTTTTGGGTACGAGAAAACCGAATATGACGTTAGTTTTGCGATACAATTCATTTTCGACACACTTTTCATACAAAAAATTCAAAAAATTTGGATTTTTGTATGGAAGCCATGCCTGTATGATATCGTAATGAGCTGAAACTTTGCACAGGTTATTTTTATCACACATAAATACCATTCCGAAAGTTTGAAGACATTTCAACGAATATTAGGGGCACCTCCCGAACAAAATTTCGGATTTTTCACTCTAAAACGAAATTTTGTATGGGATGTACCCTTAATATGCATTGAAATTTCTTCAAACTTTCAGAATGTTAACTTTTTGTGAAAAAAATAACCTCTGCAAATTTTCACATGATTACGATATCATATAGGCATGGCTCCGATACAAAAATTCCCATCTTTAGTAGTTTTTGTAAGAAAAGTGCTTCGAAAATTATTTTTATCTAAAACTAATGTCAGATTCAGTTTTTCGTGAGTTCAAATTCAAGTAAAAGATAAGTTATAATTTATAATTTATAACTTATAAATGAATTTTGTGGATCACAGTGCGGAAAAGTTCATCTTACGTATGTAAGACATTTTATTTTTATCTAAAACTAATGTCAGATTTAGTTTTCTCGTGAATTCTTTGAGTAAAAGATTTGTAATAAATGCATGTCGTGGATCACAGTGCGGAAAAGTTCATCTTACGGATGTAAGACATTTTATTGTTATTAATTTCAATCGTTTTGCATCGTTGAATGTAAAAGGAGAAATGAATGCTAACAATATTTTTTCATTTATAAATAGGTTACAAAATGCCATTTCATTTTGATTGAAGACTATAAATTTGAAATCAACAATCAAGTTGGCAACAAATTGCAAGGGAGATTAATATTTAATAAAACACAGAAATTCGATACCTTTTGCAATATGCATGCACACAGTTCAAAATTAACGAAATAAAACAATAATACAAAACAATTTGCACAAGTACAAAATAGTCTGATGAAATATCACATATTTTCTATATAAACGAATTCGGCCATTTCAATGAAAGTTTGCAATATTTGATTAAGTTTAAAGCTACATGAATTTTGTGTAAACTTCAATTGCCCGTACGTTATTTTATCGTATCTAAATGAACGTCCGAAATATCGATATCATCTGTGCCAATTTGTTCAGCCTCTTCTGCCTAAAAGTTACATATATTAAATAGAAAGAAATCAAAGTTTGAATTGCCAATATCCAAATGGATGAAAAGAAAAAGCAATTTAAAATTGATTAAACTGTACCGTATCAGGTAATTTTCGTCCGAATGTTTCTGGCAGTAGAAGTGCCAATAAGCCGGCCAACAAGGAAACAGCACCGAATAGTAGTAGTGGCAATGGTCGATAATAATTGGACTTTGGAGAACGAAAAATAAACATACATATGCATGAATATTAGAAATATTATCGTTTGGAATATTTAAGTGGCTTTAAAGTATGTGAATTATTTGCAAAAACTTACTAATAAGGGTACAAAGGGTGCGACAAGAGCACCTAAGCGAGCCACTGTGCTCGCCGATCCAACACCCATTGAGCGAATAACAGTCGGCAATATTTCAGATGTATGAACGTATGATGTAGAGAATGCTGATGTGATACCAAGTTTTCCAAGAAGAAATAATGTAACCACAGCCCAAGTATTTTCTATAACAACAACAGGACCAAAAGAGAGAGTTAAAGAGAGAAAAACACCCTCAAAAATAATGAGAAATTTTCAAATAGAGAGATAGAATGAGAACTGTAAACTATAATGCAAGTTTTACCAAGCGGTTCAGATCCTCCAGCAACGCAGGTGAATGCACACAAAAGCAATGAGGCAGATAATGCCCATCTTCGTCCAATTTTATTCATTGCAATCCAGGATAGTGTGTAACCAGGAATTTCAACTGCAAAATTACGGATTTTCTACGCTTATACTCGATTACTTATTATACAACGATATTATACGCATTAGATGTGTGCGCCAGCAGTAGCAGTGCTGGGCAGCTTACATACCATTCATTCAGTTCATTTATAGAACAGCTACTTTACCTAAGCACACCAATATGAAGTTCAAATACTTGTTGCCACTTAGATTTGTAGAGTTAAGTGAAAGACCGTAGAATATGAAAGCATCGCTCGCCCAAATAAAAAACAGTATCAATCCACGTAATACAAGCACTCTCGAACATAAAACCTCTTTAAATGTACGCCATACCTCATGATATTCTTGTTGCTCTTTGGATACCTCTCCTAATTCCGGTTGTTTTTTCTTATTGCCATCATGCTGTAAACATACATCGGAATGAATTTCATTTACAAAGAAATTGAGGAAAAAAACCACAATCCAACAGAAACATATCGCGTTTCGACTTCCTTCCACACTCCACCACATCATCATATCGACACAAAATGTGAATTTCATTCAATAGATATGCAATTACAAATCGAATAAGAATTTAAAACGTACCACATTTCCATGATGATGCGCTGGTGAATTTAATTCGAATTGATGTAGCATTTGTTCCGATAATTCAACCCCATTCACATCAGCTGCTTTTTGAATGATTTTTTTGGCTTTTGTATAATCTTTTCGTGCTAACAACCATCGAACGGATTCGGGAATGAACCAATAATATGCAATGAATAGCAACGGTGGCACAGATACTATCAACTGTAATAATACCCAATCGCGACACAGCCAAAATATTAATCCGACTATCGCTTCACCCACTGAATAGAAGTAATTCAGAATAATGCCAGACATTTCACGTTTTTTCGCACCGACCATTTCAACACCTAACCAAAACATAAATGAATCGAATTGAACATTTTGGCTCAATGCATAATTGAATAAAAGGATCGATTATAATGGCAATGGTATATGGTGGCCAAAAGCTTTTGTGAAAAATAGCAAAAACAAGCACAGAATGTAAACCCGATCGATGCACATGGGATTGAAAAATGCGCGTAAAAAGCATTGCGTGCATTTACCCGAATGGAAAATATTTTGATTGTATTACAATAACAACGAAATTTCGATATGTAACGATGGATAATAAATGCGTTTATTCACTATCCAACCGAATTTACCATTCAATTCTATTTGGTGTGTGTGCATGTGGCGAGAATAAGTTGCGTGCCAGAACACATCAAAATGGAAAATTCAAAACATTATACATAAATAAAGTGACGAACACTCCCTCGAAAACAAGGAGCTTCTGTCCACTTTATCACCCTCTTTCCTCAGTTGATTGGTCGATCTCTCGTTCTCTTCTGATGAAAATTACTATATTCTCGACGCTCTATGTTTGAGGTCAACTAAATTACCGTTATCACGCTTCATTGACGCATTCCAAATGTTGTTGTTATTTACAAAATATGTTTACAGTAAGCACACACCTTCAACATCGACATACAGACATACGCTAAACATTCGTAAAACATACAAGAGGCGGAATGCAATGCATTTTCACCACAATATTTTTCCAATAAAATACTTGGTTCGTTTATGTTACTTTTGATATGCAAAATACCCGTCATACATCGTTACGATTCAATTGAATTTAAAAGAGACAAGTGAGAAAAACACACAACACTAAATTAAAATGAAACACGGTTAAATATTCAAAATAAAACATAGTACCCATGATAAAAGCCATCGGAAATACCCCAGCAGTTCCAACTGCATTTAAAAATGCAAAAAATACAAATGATGAATAGTTCTGGGAAAGAGCCTGACCGATTCCAGTTATTGCCATGAAAACCGTGGACAGTATAAAGATTATTTTACGACCATAGCTATAAGCAAATAAAAGAAGCATCAAATAAATTTACCACCCCATGATGAGGTTTGGTTATTATTGAGTTGTTTTTTAAATGTGTCTGATGTGTGAAGACTTACTTGTCCGCTAAGATGCCAGCAGCTGCCGATCCGACGACGATACCGGCAAAATGTGCCGTTCCCACAAATGCCAATAAATACTGATTTTCTTTGCAGGTTATCGACCATTCTTCGACGATTGTTTTTTCATATTTGTCAAATACCCAACGTGTACAACTAATCTCATGTTTCACGGTTAATTCACGTCCACATAAATATGTTGAATTATTTTCCAACAATGGCAATTCATATCGAAGGCATTGTTCAGGTGCGAATAATCCTGAAGAATCAATAGATCCTGGAACCACCGCACTCACCCATGGCTCATCATAATTAGGATTGATTGGGTCATCACAACTCGGTACAAAACAACTGTTATTTGAGAGAGAGAGAGAGAGAGAGAGAGAGAGAGAGAGAGAGAGAGAATGACAAAGGGAGCTAGTCAATCAATTTGAATTAGCTAAAAAGGTGCGTCGTTTATGTTACGCGTGCCAGTTGAGCGTTATGTAAATAAATCACATGTTTTTATGTGATGAATCACGCGAGTTCACACACATAAAAAAAAAAACAATGAATGCATACGTACCGATATTGTGGAATGCCTGCGGTAAATATATACGTCAAAGAATTGGCTGCACCAAATAGCACAGGTAAACAAAGGAGCAGATAATTTGTTTGTTGATAACGACCGAATTGGCCAATTTCTTCCAATATTAAATCGAAATCCATGTTTTTGTTTCGCTTTTTTTCCGTTACGTTGATTGGTTCAAAGCTGGAAAATTAATTAACCGAATGATTGAAAAACAGAAATCGGACAAAAATAAAAACAAAACAAAGAAGAGAAAGATAGGGTGTGTAGGCATGAAAGAGAACGAATCCAAGGGGCGAAAGGGAGAAAGTAGAAAAAAAAAGTAGACTGAATTCGAATGTTATGTAAAATTAATTGCCATCAGCTAGGCCAAATGCATAATTTTAATCATTTGGTTGGTGTGCATAAAATAAACAAAAACAGCGAATGCACATCATATTAATGCAGTTCATCGGAAATGTAAATAAATTAATCAGAAAAGCGATAAATGTTGTTGCTTGTTGTGTGTTTTTTTTAGGCTGATGGTGGTTATTGGTCACATTGAATAATTACATGGTCCCCGCGTACACCGGGTCCCATCAAGTCACACGAACTGAATCATGATCGTGGTTTATTTTCAAATAAATAAAATAATGGAATGCAAAACGCAACCACTACCACCACTGCTCGTTCACATTTATGCGCTTCACTTATGCACACTTAATTGTTTTGATTTGATTTGATTGATTGCTTGATAAATTGATAATTGATGGACTGGTTACAGCTAACAATGACGACGACGGCGACGACTTCCGCCACTGTTCCATCGACTGGTTTGAGCACTTCGGTTTATCGATTTATATATATATCCGAAAAAATTCCCAGTTGAATTCACAAAAAATGATTTTCACAATTTTTTTCTTTTGGCTTTTTTCTGTTTAAAATGTATTATAGGTGAATTGCGTGTAGTATTTTGATGAATCGAAATTAAAGCTGACAACGTTGACTCGTCAAAATAACTGAAATTATGATTGATGCCTCAAAAACCAAACGATTAAGTTGCATCGTTGATTGTGTTGAAACAAACGTAGTCACGGTTGATTTATGTCATTTTTCCGGAAAAGTTTTTTCCCGCTTATGAAAATGAGTAACACAACTACGCTCAAATATATAAATGGAAAGTATGAAAAAATAGTAAAAATCAATATTTTGCATTTTTCTATATAACTTTCGTCCATTTTGAGTTCAATTTCAATCTCTCAGCGGTGCATTTGTGCCATAATTTATATCGATTGACACCAGACATTGAAAATATTTCAAATCATTTTGTCGCGCAAATGCCAACAGCGATTGTTGTAGCTACTACAATATCAGCTTCGTCGACGGCAGATGTAGCACAATGGTCCTTAGGTGTTTGTTGGATTTTCCATCCCACTCATTTTTACCATTTGAAAAAATAAAATTCTAGTTCAAAATAGATATTAAATGCAAGCAATTTTAGAAGCAATAAATTCTGATTTATTTGCAAATCATCTTGTCGGTGGCTGACGTGGAAAATTGGCTGTTATCATTTATTGTCGCATAATTCGAACAATGTCACAGCTCGTTTCAAAAATATATGTTGTTTTTTTCCTATTCATTGTCAAATCTTACATGCGCTTGTGATTTTGATAAATTTGATTGAAATGGGTCGTATTACGAGCTGATGCAACATTAATGACTATAAACTGCTACAAAAATAGCTTATTCGTAAGATTTCAATTTTCCAAAAAAAATCAAAGTCATGTTATACTCCAGTGCTTCCACCTGAACTGACACGCAAAAAAAATGTAACTGAATTAACCTTTCTTTGGAACGAATATTGTCAAACTGAATCGAATTGATATGAATAAGTCCCCTTTCAGAAATGTAATTTCATTTACGCTTAGATGACGAAGATGGTGAGTTTTGTACCCATGATTGTTTCTAGAACATTTTCAATTCGAATACCACCGACCCTGACGTCTTATTCGATTAAAATCAGACTTAATTTCATCAGGTCAGAATACCCCTTTCTTTCTTGCGTCTTATCTGCATCATAATAAATCGAATGAAGATATAAACTCTTTAATTTGCGATTGCACGTGATAAGCTTTGATTGCGTTCTATCACTCACATACTCTCTAATGCCTATCAATTAATTAGCTTTGCTATCGCGCAAATACAGGAGAATGGTTCAGGGCGTCACAAATTCTTAAGTGTCAGTTTGGTAGAATGTGCAAGCGATAATTGTGATATTCGATTAATATTCATTAGGGCACACCAACTCTCTTTCTCTCTATCTCTCTCTATCTCGCCCGCTATTTCTCGTTCTTTTTTTCATGGTCTTACTGTTTGTAACCGTAGAAACGACAGAGTTTTGAAATTAATTGACCAGCATCACGCCAACAATTAGAGCCACTTTTGTACATAGTGCTTGACTGTAAAGAGTTGCTTTGTGCGCTTCCTCAAACGATATGTAGCTTATGAGTTCGGTTTGAGGTTGGCAATTTCCATTTATAAGATGAAAAGTTTCAAAAATCGATCAATTTGAGACGGCTGCTCGACAATGAATCTGCGATTCATATGTAATATGGATGGAATTATACAACACGTTTTTCATGGTTCGGTATATTTTTTTTTCACTTCCGAAGCACCTGGCAGCGTTAATTAATAATTACTCTTTGTGCTTTTATACGAATGTAATATAATCTTCTATCTCTACTTTTATGACAACTCAATTCTATATTCTTGTTTCGTTTTTTTTTTCAATACATTTTCCCTGAATTTCAATTAAATTGCACTGCGGTAATTTGTTTTACAAATATTTTGACGTTTGTCACATACAAGTGTGTATTTTTTCACAAATTGTTTTTTTTTTTCACGCACAAAAATAGAAAATCGCATCACTGAGTAACAAAGTTTAACGAACAAATGTCAATGCACGGTACACGGTAAGTCACGTAACTCACATCAAAATATTGTGATAAAAAAACGAGTTGTATAATACAAGCGTTTGATTTTGTCAGCAAGCATGTATGGCTTGTCATCAAACATCCAGCTCCACGAAATTTGAACAACTAAATCAAAACAACAAATTTTCAGAAGAAATCACAAATGACATGCAAATGATCATCACACATGCAATCAACACATACTGAATATTTAAAAAAAAAACACACACAATACTTATTGCCGCCAATTGATGAACTACTGGTTTTTTCTAACCATGTTTGCTGTCACAACAAACTAACACATTTTAATCAAAATACGTTACGATGTAAACAATTTTTCAAACTTAAAATCGACCGATTCATTCATGTATCGTGATTTGTTTTGATTCATACGTTCTTGGTGTGTGTCGACGGAGTTCGCAAGCTATAACTAAGAATAGCATGAAGCATGTGCTTAACCGCAACGCAAGCCACAAATACCAACAAATCACTTTGATCGATTCACAATTATTTGCGTCTACTTAGCAAACTTTCTTATCGGTGTGTATGTTGTATGTGAGCGTTACATGTAATCGTCCAATTATAATCGTATGGCAGCATTGCTTATCATGAGACCCGTATGGAAATTGCACATGTTAAAATCACCATTGTGAATGCGACACATGAGTTGACCGCAACAATTTTTCAATTGTCTATGCAAAGGTCTATCTATTTCAGCCGGTGTATATTTGTATGAGATTGGAGACTTTTTTTTGCGAATCTCGCTAATGAGCGCCATCTGATTTTAGTGTGAATTAGATGCAAAAACTGAATTTAATTCTGTAGCATTGAAATGAAAAAGTGAAAAAACAACAACAATAGCACGGCCACACAGAGCTGTACATCTATGCGTGCTGATGCATACATACACATATACGCTTTCTTCATTCTTTCATTCCATTGCTATACGTATCTCACTGGTCAACAGATCTATGTAGCCATGTTACTGTTGTTGTTTTTTTCTCTTTTTCGATTCAATTCATTGTAACTAAATTGAGTTCAACTATGGAATACAAGATGGCACAGATGAGGGGAATTCGCATTTTGTCTCTTCATAGGCTTAGCCGGTTGATCTATTTACACTATCAAATGTGTGTCTTTTATTTTAGTAATAGGATTTTTTCTTCAAAATTGCATGTTATTTAATTGTATATAAATAATTTGACAAAATTTCCAACTAATTCTATTCTCCTTAATGATAATCTTTTATACAATTGGGAAATTTTAAAAAACTAATAAAAAAAAGAAAAAAAAAGAATTTTCAAATATTTTGCCCGTGGAATCGAGTTCATTCGATTTACAGGTGGGATACACTTTTTGCTGTTACTTTAAATAAAAAATGCGTAGACTCGCGTATGAAACGAAACTGATACCTAACATACAAGCTGTTGTTAAGCCAATTTCTTAAGCTTACCATTATCGTTCCGTTATTCGTCTATTGATGTACGGAGAGTGGGGAAATAATTTAATTCATGCATTCATTTACGCTTTAGAGATTCCAACTGAACGTTTTCCAGTTGTAATCTCGATGAATAGCAAAAATTAAATCATTTGGTATTTTTTTTTAAATTCTATACTTAGAATTAATAACACTATTTACAATCGACTATTTGAACAAGTATAAAAATAACTAATCATATACAAAAAACAAGCTAATTGACATAACAAGTGAGCAAGTAGAACTGTCTATCTGAATGTGATAACCCGATAATCGTTCATCAAAATGGGTTGTTCAGTATAGCAATTAACCTTTGTTCTCGTTCGCTCAGTGCAGAGATCGAAAACTCTATCGGCACAATAGTAAATTATCTCACGTGTTATATTCACATTGTGTCTATACAAGGAAAATGTTTAAAGCCACACACTCTTTGGAGCAGAACAGGTTTTTATTTCATTTGTTGTATGTTTATATATGAAGCTGTTTTAATGGCATCACCGTGATGTATGTGATCCAATAGATTTACTGAAATGCAATTTACATTGAATCATCCGCAATTTTCCATTGGAAATCGAAAACAATGACACCTTTTGGCATAATAAAGACGTCCAAATGTTCCTTTTCTCAATTTCTCAATTTTGGAGATAAAGACTATATGATTGATGCATGAATGCAAATGGGTTCGTTGTTGTCATCACTTGACGTTCGTCGTCGTCAACAGCGTTTGCATCACGAGTAATTGTGATAAACAGCAATTTTATTGACACTAGCTACAGGTAACAAAATGCAATTGCATTGTAAATGGATTGACATTCGAGTGGTGTATGTGTTCCATGGGGAGAGATATGATGCATTTAAAATTAAATCCAACTGATACAAAGTACTATTCACCCTTATTGTGTGAATAGATTGAAACTTTCAATTTGAAAGGAAAGATTAAAAATGAGAAGGTGCTTGTCATTCGGATATAATTATTTCGATGAAAATAGAAAACCGCACCAATTCAACTTTATATTTTACGATTGACATTGTCTAATTTGATTGTCAATTTTTGGACCACTCTAAAATCGAGCTCAACTTATAAAATCTTCAATCATTTATCGTGATTAAATTCAATTCCATTTTGAAATGGAGGCCAGGTGCTTTTCCATATACATGTGAGTAAGAAGTAAAATTTGGACTTTTTGTTGACATAGAACGGGTAGCGGGTGACGGATTGCCGGAGGGTGGAAATTAAATTCGATGTTCTCTCCGATTTTAAAAGCAATACATTTATTTTGTCGATTACATAAGTGCGGTTTTACTATATTGCTATTGCTTGCTGTAAATGTTTATATAGTTATATTTTAGGTATTAATAAACGTTGTTTATAATACATACGAAGTTGCTTGAGTAATTTCGAAAATTTAGTTATCATAACAATGTATTTTGACTAGCTTTTCACAACGTCAACATTGTGTGCAGCATAATTTCAAAGGCAGCAAAATGTTGGGATGGGAGAAGGAGAGATATTGAGATAGGAACTATTCTGGAATTATTATCATTATGGTATGAGCATGAATATAAATGCGCCGTTGAATGCGCGTACATCACATACAATGCAAATACACTGACAATTTTACTTGGAGGTAGTGCTTGATGTATCGATTTAAAAACGAGTTGAACTTAACTTAAAGAATATATCTGAACTACAGATTTTTGCTTAAAAATTCATGAAAATACACAGAAATGTGGTAGTTTTTTGTACTAGAGCAACTTTTTAATTCAGGTCAGTCGCGTATTCTTGCTTTATTTTTTTCAAAAAGCATCTCAATATCTACAAACTGTTTGAATCAAAATCTCAGGACTTGAATTATAACTTAGAATTAATTTGTCTTCACATTCCCATACAAAATCTACGTAAAAACCTAATTTTCAATGAAAAAATTTGTTTCAATTTGAGTTATGCGTGTCACAAACCAACCGAAAACGATTTTAAAGCTTGAAGTACATCGAGCAAAGATAATTCCATTCTAATAATCTTCACTTGATTCAATTCACAACCATCTATAAAATTAATCAAACTTAATCGGTTTCATTTGAATGTGTTTCGTTAAGCCAGGCCATAAACCGATAAACTACAATCAAAATTCCATACATACATACATATAGTAGCCAAAAGTTTTTCTCTTCGATCTAAATAAGAGATGGAAATGGAGGGAAATAGAGCGCACGCCTTGGGATATGATGATTGGGGATTTTGAGCGAATTCTACTTGGAAATGGAATATATTGCTCGTTTGACGAAATCGAATTGAAAATGAAACCAGAACGACATGATATGGAGTTCATGTGTACGACCCCAACAAGCATATCATGCGAATAGAGAGCAAAATACATATCAGAAATATTAATGCATAATTTATTTAGTATTTCGCTTTCAATTGCGTTTTAAAGCTATATTCCTGACACTTTGGCACGGAAATTATCTGATAAGAAGTCACGCCTAGGCTTCCATGTTATGTATTTACGACAAGATTACGCTGTGTCATTCACACAATTTTTGTGAACTTTGACAATAATATTGTTATTATTGTCGACTAAGCA